CCCGCACGATGGCTCGGATGTGGCAGACCTGTGGCTTGGCTTTCTAGCTCACCAGACCTCAACCCACAGAACTTTATTTTCTTGGAGCAGATGAAATCTTCAGTGTACGAAATGCCTATGGACTCAGCTGAAGATCTCATGGTGAGAATTGTTGTTGCTGTAAGCAAAATTATCACGATACCAGGAATCATCGTGAGGGTGAACCAGTCGCTCCTTCCGATGTCAACTGTGCAACAACATGGGTGGTCGGCATTTTGAGCATATTCTGTAAGTTTTTTCACTACACAATAAATCTGATTGCACAACTTTTGGTCTCGTTCACTCGCCTTTCTCAACACTGTTGTAAGTTCATGTTGGAATTCTGGTATTCCTCTTTTCTGCCTCTCAGTGTGGAATCTGACCCTATGTTCTATGGTAATTATTGCTCGTCAGGATGGGTACTATCACCCCTCTAAATTTGTAAAAGCAATTTAGAAACAACCTGTATATATATATATATACACATATATGTATATATATATATGAGTGTGTGCGGTGCACTACACAGAGATGAGAAAATCGTGTAGTCCCTGCTTTGAAGCTTTTATGACATGCCAGACAACATGGTCTGACATCTCTGATGCAATAATTTGCTCCAGTTGATGCTGCAAGAGACACAACTTCATGACTAGCATCAAGAGATTTTAGCGTTCTGCACCGTGTCTGTCATCAAAGCCTCTCAATTTCAGGAGGGCTGATGAACCAATGATTTTGTTTTTCCTCTGATATCGTTCCAGATGTAACAAATCAGAGGATGTAAAATATTACTGAAAAATTAAGGAGGCGTAGCTAATTCAGTTTGAAGATTTTTTCCATCGGAATAACACGTCAGAAGGCTCCTGAACTTTTGACTAGAGAAACCCTCATTTGCAGACTCCTCATCTCATGAGGACCAGAATTCACTTCAACAAATGTTTATGCTATTCATGAATTACATATATTTGTAAACAGCTTCTCATAATTGTAACAAATATGCTTTGAGTTTAAAATGCAGTAAGTACTATGCAACCTCACAAATGTACCAATCATTATATGGAGTCAGATGCGTTACCAGCTGCCACTTAATACAATGGTAACCGCCAGTCCACCCCCCCCACATATATAATTATAAGTAAATACATAAAGAAAGAAATTTTGAACCAATTTTTCACGAAGACCCCAAAAGTTAAATTCAAATAAATAAATTTAAAAAAATTCTATAAATGTAGAATTAGAATTCTGTAAATGTTAAAAGAAAAAAATAAACCATTACATGAAAACCAAAAATAAATAAAGTAAAAGAGAACATGACAGAAGAGGAATCAAATTAATTCTGATATAATGTCCTCACGAGGAGGATAGATCTAAATTAAATACAATTCTTCTTCCATAAGAAAATCCTTGCTTTTTTGTATCCACAATTAGCTGATGTACCATTTCAATATATTTTAAATCTAAACAGTTCACTCGAAAACTCTGGGCCTCCTGAAAGCGAAGAAAAATGTCAAAAATACAAAGTAAAATCATTAATGAAGATTTTCCCGAATTTAAAATGAACCATTCCTAAAATGAAAAACTTACCCATAATATAATAATAATAATAATAATAAAACACTTCAGTGAAAAAATTCCTCAAAAATTGAAAAAAATGTAGCAAGTGTAGCAAAAATTTTTACATATAACATTTTAAGAACCTCCTTTCAAACACCAGTTCAAACCAATAAAAAAAAAAAAAAAAAAAAAAAAAAAAAAAAAAAAAAAAAAAACCGTTAGAATCTGAGACGCCTAGCCTTTCGAGTTTAGCCTTTTTGGCGAAACTAAAAACCATAGTTGAAAAAGCCATCTCCCAAAAGGTGAATTTAATGCTACAAAGCAAAGAACTGTGAATTTTATACTGTTTGTTTTATGCGATTATGGCAAAGCCTCGAGAGCTATCTGCCTAAGGGAAGGACTGGCTTGTCTACATGTTACAAAAGATGAAAATGCCCATGCAGCCAGCCCGTTTCGGGATTCGAACCTCAGACAGAACTATGAGAGTTCAGCGAGTTTACTACTCAGCCGCTAGTGGGCCCTTGAATTTTAAAGAAAAACTCTTCATTCAAAAACATACACTTTGAAATGTTAACTAAACAGAGGATAAATTTTTCCTAATTGTAAAAAATATCAAAGTAAAACCCAAATTTAAATTAATAACAAAATTGCATTTAAATGAATAAATAGAACAAAGCAGAGCAGAAAAGGGTGAGAACATTAAAATTAAAATACAAAATTCCAAATATTTAATATACTTTAAAAATTGTCAGAGACTGAAAGGGTAGTCAGTTTTTTTTGCATTTTAATAACTATTGTCAAAGATGTTTAGAAATTTCTTAATGGTGAATTTAATGCTACTTAGAAAAGCATTTTATAAAAATTGTAAAATGCAATTATTTTTAAAAATTTAGTCTTAGTAAAATGCAAAGGAAAGTAAGAAAAGGAAAATAAAGGATAAATATTAGAAAAGTAAAAATTCTTCACGTCATGGGCTTATCATAATGACTTGAAAATAGTAGGCTCCAATGTTTGATTAAACAAAGCAAAGATACAATAATAATAACAATAAATAAATAAAAAACTATATAACTTTCTAAAACATCTTCCTTTATCCTTCTCTGTTGGAGCCTTCAGATAAAAATTCATACTTTCAAAAAGCTTTATAGGGTGTAGATCACTTCACATTTTTTTAAAAGACTATTAATGAACTTGCTGTATTTGCTGGTGTACAAGATGCATCGGCCTATCAGACCCCCCCTTTTTATACAAATTTTAGAAGGATAAAACTTTATTACTGATCATTATATTGAATTTACAGTATTTTAAATATAAAGTAATACAAATTCACAGGAATACTTTCTGCAAATACTCAATCTATCTGGGAAAGAACACCTTTTAATCTTCATCAAAGCCCACTCATCTCCAGAGCTAAATGAAGAGTCACTTGAAACCTCTTCTAAATCGCATCTCAGTCCTCATACAACAAACTGTCCTCTGTACCATCCAGTGGATTACTAATGCCACACTTCTCAAATGATTTAGTCACTGTCTGTTTTCCCAGCATCCCATGAAGCTTTGACCCATTCACAAACTTGCGAAATGCTAGGCCTCTTTCTTGTTCCAGATGGTGTAACCTCAAAATTTGAAAACAGCATCCAGCTGTTCCAGTTCTCCTTTATAAATCACTTAAATGGTTTATTAATGCAAACATCTAAAGGTTGAAGCTGACTAGTTAGACCTCCTGGAATTACAGCTGAGTTTTTAATTCTTTGAATTTATTTTTAACATCTGTTCTGCGAGAACGAAACTGATCCCATACTGATCCATCCAGCCTTTTGCGTGAACACGTACAAACACTTCTTTAGGCAATATTTGTTTAGGTAGTGTCTTCCTTTTAAAAATCATTAGTGGGGGCAATTTTGTCCCATCAGCACAGCAGGATAAAATAAACATGTAGTGATTTTTTTCGTGCCCTGAAGTTTTAAAGAGTAACACTTTCTGTACCTTTGGAATCTACAGCTTTGTTTGAGGGCACAACAAAAGTCATTTCAAAGTCCTGCTTTTGTGTGATCTAAAATCCGAGTATTTAGCTCTGCCTCAGTTCAGGCTATTGTACAGTTCCAATTCATAGGTTGTGTTTACTGCGAGTTGCTTTTTTATATCCTCTTCCTGATTTCTTCTCATTTTCTCAGTTGTGTGTGTGGGGCGAAATGCCTCTCTGCAGCCCTGTTTCCATGTTCTTTAGCATACACCACCACACATAGCTTGCATATTATGTTATAGCAATGTCAACATTGTTTTTAAGCCGTAACTTGCCAACAATTTTAAGAAAACTGAACAGCAGAAATTTCATACACTTAAAAGTCGTTAAAAAATTGGAAAGTTTAAAAGAACCAGCTATGATCGTCGTGATATCGCATGCGCATTCACCGAATTCTATGTAACTGTAATATTGCCAAACTCTGCAAGGAAACAAGGAACAAAAATCACTTAACTCCAAAGGAAATGAATGCAATGAAAAACTGAGTATCGATTTATAAGATGTACTGCGTTTTTCAGACCTATTTTCAAAGAAAAGAGTGTATCTTGGAATTTAATTTTCTTTTAAAATTTTTGGTGAGAATTAAGATTTTTTCTTGTAGTTTTTCTACTTCAGTACACACTTTTCCAATTCCGCAAATTTGATTACTAACAATATTTGCTATAACAATCTTATATATATTGAAGTTCCAATTTATAAGTTTAATAATATAAAACTTATATTCTCTTCCTTTATCAAAAATCTAATTTCATTAAGATTGTGAATACTAAAATCTAGATAATCTATTTCTGTTGGATTCTTATTAGTTTTATTAAATTTTAGACAGTCGGGGTAGATGCTGCAATTTTCTATGAGATTATAACTGTTGTAAGTAATAATGTCATCAACATATCTGAAAATGTGTTCAAATTTAGTGAAATCATTATCAGAAATGCTTTTAAGAAGCTTAAATTCTTTAGAAAATAAAAATAAGTTACAAAGATGAGTTGGATAGCAACTTCCCATTTTAATACCATGTGTTTGCAGGAGCATAAATTTGGAATATTTGATACAGCTATTGTAAAGTGAGAAATGAATAAATTCCTACCATTTTTTTTGCAAATCCAGAATAGTAAGTATTTCAGGAAAAAATGCTGTTAGCTCCAGAATACTTTCATAAATTTCTTTGACTTCCTTATATAAAACATTTTTTGTGTTTATACACATGTGTGCATTTTGAAATGCATGCAAATAATATTACATCAATATAACAGAAGGAAAGCATCCATGTTTAAAGTGGTAGGGGCATTTAGGAATTCTAATCAAGAACCTACCACTTTCTTATGATCACTTTCAGAAACTTTGGTGAAGCCCTAAACCCATGTTCCTTTAGAGAGTTAAGCATAAATAACATAACAGAAAAGCCTTTTTATGCTGAAGAAACAACAAAAGCCTTACCTTTTCCTTTTCTTAGAGGAAGAATAAGTGCAACACCAGTCATGACTTCATGGGTTCGGCCACTCAGTCTACAAAATAAAATAAAATAAAATAAAATAAAAACTCTCATTTAGTATCATAATATCTCATCTGAATATGAATATATATAAAATTATGTGAAGTTTGATACTTTAGTACACATTTAAAAACTAAATTTTGTAATCAGATAGAATATTTTGAAAAATTTCAATAGAAGAAATAAAAATTAAACTGCTATTATGTAATGCACACATTAAATAAATATATAAAGAAAAGACACAACAGCAAAATATCTACAGTATGTGCAAGTAAAAAATGAAGAAACAATGGCAATCTTTCATTGTTTGCTTCAAAAGTTGTGCAATAAGTATATACAGAAACATTTTAACTTCAATAGCATAGGGCATTTAAAAGGAATACAATTTTTTTTTGTGACACTGCAAAACTCAAAAATAACGAAAACTTCCATAATGGAATTTTATCCTGAGGGAGTCATTAGTGTTTCTATACTGACACTGGTTCTTTTGTAATATGCTTAACAAAACAATAAAAAAATTATTGCTGCAATAAACGTAAATGATAGAATTTGAAACCTTTAATTTCTGAAAAGAGCACAGTCATAGATTTCTAACAGAAGTATATTAGAGTCTGGCCAGTAAATTATCAAGGTTATCATGTGACATCGCCCAGTCTTCAGTCCCAAAACTTTACAGGGAAGTCATGTAATGTACGTGAAGCTTGTAGTATCTGAATTCGGCTGTTAGAGGCTAACAGTGAACTCTGCAGAAAAAATACATAACATCATTCGGAACAGTGTAGTTTGTGTCCTAATTGATGCACTAGTCATAGTCAAACAGAATTAAAGCAACTCATGGCCATTCAATATGTTACAGCTGTTTCAGTTACAGATGTTAATTGTTTCTAATGAAAGAAATCCAGGCTTTCTTTGACTAGAAACCAATCCCCATCATGACAAAAGCACTTTTTCTTCCCAGATTTCTTATGCTCTGGCATTGCTCTCCTCTCATAAGATAGAACTGTAGGTTGATATCTTGAGACAATCCAAAGCTACCCAAAATAAACAATTAATTAATCTGTGACATATTACCAAATGAAACATTTGTACTATACCTCCAGGCACATTTGGGAGTGCTGAAACAAGTGCATGTATTTCAATTTCCATTCTTCCAAGATTGACAAGATAACAAATCTTTAAATTTTGTATAGGGTTATCATAAGAAAGAGCATTTCCTGTGAAAACTTTCAACATATATTATTAGAAGAATGAGTATTACCAAGGTATCCTTTTCTACATAACATACATTTAACAGTTAATAGCAGAGCCAGTATAATTGAAAAATATAGTGCCCAAATGCCAAGTTTTTAGGAAATTTTTACATATTTTAAAATCTTTATACACTTAAAATTAAAATTCATTTGATTAGAAAATTACAAATATATAGTCAATTAAAAATTTCCCATCAAATCATCGAAAATTACTTAATTAATGTTAAAATTAGTGACCAAGTATTTATTACTCTTAATTACTTTGTAAGGTATATTTTAATTTTGAAATCCCTTCCTATCAGTTCCTGTTTCCACTTATAACTCCCTACCAGAATGGGTTTTTTAGAATCGCATTGAATGCAAATGAGTTAGAGAAGTATTTAAGGAAGGTTCTACTAACTTCCATAGAGGGTGCTAGGAGTCCTTAGTGGTGCATGTTGCCTTCTAGCTATGTCACTCTTGAAGCTGTTACGCTCGACCGTATTATACGTGACTATTGATATTTGCTGGCTAGTTTAATTTAAGGCCTAACTACATTAGCTAATTGTGTCTAGCTTTGGCCAGGTCTCATTTAGTTAATTTTAGTTTAGTTTCTTATTTTCTAATTCCAAGTTAAAGCCTGAGAAGGGGCCAACTGTTATTCTGATTTGAGTGAGTAAAAGGATATTTTAATCCTTTTCAAGTCCATGTCTTAGTTGTTCTGAACTGAGCGATAAGTTGCTACGTAGTTCAATAGGTCCTTTGACATTTCTTCTTAGACAAGAAATTAGGAATCGTACAACTTTATACATTTTAATACTTTCTTCTCCTAACAGTCGATCTTTTCCAATCTATTAACAAACATAAATGACAATTTCACAATTTCGTTTGCATCCAAAATGTATGCAATAATTCTAATGTATGTAATTAATATATCCAAAATGCATCCAAAATGCATGTAATTAATATACACTGTATACACTTTAATTAACCCCGAAAAATTCATTATCACGGTCATTTTGCTAATGGTCACATAACTGAAAAACAACTGATAACAAGTTTACATATTATTTAATGAATAATATAATATTATATTTCATTTCTGCATACCTTTGCTTTCTCATCCCAATACAAAGCAAAATATTATATATCAATTCAAGTAATAAATGATATTCAGAAGCTATCTGGCAAAAAAGTAAAGAAAACTAGAATGGTCCAAAATAAACAAATTTAAGTAATGGAATGTGTTTGCAGAAATGGCATGCTGAGGTAGCTCTGCTCTATTGAGCTATAATATCTTCTGCTCTATTGAGCAAAAGATAAAAGTGCACAGCTGGTGTCACTGTACTGATTTCAACCAGTATGCATCATTATTTGAAAGCAGATCCCAAAGATATATCAGTAAGGATCCAGATTGTAACAGAGCAGCTGCTTAAAGAAAGCAAACCAATTCAAAGAAAAAAGTGACAGTTCTATAGCTCCTGCTCTAATCGACCAACTAACAAAATTCAACACGCATTTTTCGTACCTTGAATGTGCAATGTAGGAAATATATATGATTTACATGTAGTGTTGTTTTAACATACATATTTTGACAAAAATAAACTTTTCTGAAATGGATCGCTGATTTTTTTTCTGTATTTTGATTCTAGAATTCAAATTATACCTAAACACTAAATTTTGTAAAATTTCGCAAAACTTATGGAGTACTTTAACAAAATGGCTTGGAACATACTTTTTCACCCTCCACCAACACTTAGCAGGCTTCTCAGTTTATGTTAATTTTTTAACTTTCATTCTGCTCAGGCGAGAAAATAATTCATTACTTCTTTCCTAAAAATATCTTTACTTTTAGCTTTATTTTTTAATCGCAGTTGTTATTTTCAGATAAATTCTTCCTAGAATTTTATTTTAATTATACAAGTTGCATTGTTGAATTAATTTCTTCAAATAATTATTTTAAAAATTTTAATGTATTCATATAAATGTTTTCTAAACTTGATTCTGTTAGCTTGAATTGTATTTCTTTTGAAAGAATATTTTGTGACCCAGTATTTGTTATGATGCATCTGAAAATTGCATACCATCAACTAATTCGTCTTCGGGAAAAAATCTATAATTATGATTCTAATAATCCACATAATATCAAAAGGCCAATAGCCACCTTAAATATCCAAATAATTGTGTAAAATACAGGGTGTGAATCAGAAGTTTCAAGGCTGGTTCATTTCTGAGTAGGGGAGCATGTGCAGACCGGTTCTGCCGGGTAGGGGAAGTAGCAGGGGGTCTCAGGGAACGAACTGACGCTGCGACAGTTGCCTTCAAAACCCTGGAGAGTGTGCATCGCTTGCAGTGTGAGTGCATGTCATTGACCTCGGTCAAAAGTGGGAAAGGCAAAAATGGATCAGCACTTGGAGCAACATTATGCGATTAAGTTTGTGTATGACTGAACAAAACCGCCATGGAGAATCTCGGTATGATTCAAGAGGCCTTTAAGAAAGAAGCCATGCCCCATGCAATGGTTTTCACGTGAAACAAACATTTCAAAGATGGCCACGGGAATGTAGAAGATGACGACCGCTCTGGGAGGCCATCATCAAACCGAATGGATCAAAATGTGGAGAGCATGCAGGAACTTTTAAACAATGACCGTTGTCTTAGTACTAGATTAATTGCTGATGAACCGGGACTCAGTCAGACTACGGTGTGGAGGATTGTGACGGAGAATTTGATGATGCGAAAAGTGTGCGCCAAATTGGTGCCAAAAGTTTTGTCGGTGGATGAGAAGAAATGGCACATGACTGTTTGCCAGGAAATGCTCCAACAGTTGTATGTTGATCCGAAGCTTCTGGAGAAAGTGGTTACTGGTGATGAGAGTACGAATACGATCCTGAGTCGAAGTGTCAAAGCTCAGAATGGCACACTGCTTCCTCGCCAAGGCCCAAGAAAGCTCGCATGAGCAAGTCGTGTGTGAAGTGCATGCTGATTTTTTTTTTAATTGTAAAGGAGTGATTCACAAGAAGTCTGTTGCTCATGGACAGACTGTCACAGGTGACTTTTACACTGGAGTGCTTTGCCGCTTGAAGGATCGAGTCTGCCGTGTCCGCCCAGCGATCAAGGGTGATTGGTTTCTCCACCACGACAACATGCCCACTCACACGTCGCACGCCCAAGTTTTGGTCAAGTTCAACGTGACAACACTGCCGCAGCCACCTTACAGCTCCGACTTGGCTTCAAAAGACTTTTCCTCTTCCCCTGAATCAAGACAGGCCTAAAAGGGAAGCAATTCGACTACATCACCGCCATACAGCAGGCTTCAACGAGAGCCCTTGACAGCATGATGCCTGAAGCCTTCCAGAGGGGCTACGGACAGTGGAAGACACGCTGGCAGCGCTGCGTTGATGCTGAAGGATCATATTTTGAAGAATTTTAGTCCGCTGCATTTGTCCAATAAATTTCTAGTTCTGAGGTAAGTCTTGAAACTTTTGAATCACATCCTGCATGTATATCTATGTTATATTAAGTTATTATCACATACTTTTCTGAATTATCTGTATATGTATTTATGGCACCATTTAAATTGTAACTACCTTATTTTGATGGTTTTCTGCTAAAGAAATTTACAAGTTATTTTTCTACATTTTACATGCTTATTAAGCTAGCTGATACAAAAATTATGAAATTTATAATTGTGTTCAATTTGGAATAGAGCTCAAAGCCCAAGTACTCAGGGGCCCAACACCATTCCGATTAGTCATTGACAGATAAACTAAAATAAAGCAAA